GGAACTTTTTAGTTCATTCCTGTATATATTTTTTAGGAAGTGAATTTTAAAAATAACACAACAAAACAAAATGCAGCTTGATTATGTGAACAATCTAACATCAGCTCTTATGTTGTGTCTCATAATTATATGAGATGTTCAACAGAAGCTGAAGAACATCCTGCCCAGATTGATCTCGATTGAAAATCCTGATTATGATTTCTGAAGTGGGTGAAACAAATTGGATGAATTCAGTGTTAATGTTTTTAAACGTAACAAACCAAAATGAGAACCTTTCAGTTTCCCCAGGTATGTGTTCAAGAAATATATTCAATGTACAACAATTCTGGTTTATAGTCTCGTTTTTAAAGCACATTCTCTTCAGTTTTATTGACAGAAATAATAGGAAATATTAAAAAAAAAGGCCTCAATAAAGCCAAACTGGAAATTTGAGCTAATCCAATGTTACATAGAATGACTTGGTTTGGATTGACTAGTGGAGTCATTTACATTTTTGAACTATTTGTGTTACTTTTAAAGGTTGAACTAGCCCTTTAATGGATTGCCATTGTTGTTTAACATGGAAGTTTTCAGTTACTAAAATTTCCTTCAAAAATAAGTGAATCTCTTTTTTTCTTCTGATAAATTAAAGTCAGCTTTGTGTGTTTGAGAACAAAATCCTTCAGTGTTTCAAGAAAAACAAGTAAAACTAAATTCAGCTTGCATAAGTTTTTCAGACACTGAGTTTTAAAAGCCACATCTACAGGGTTTGTTTTATTTTGGAAGGGAAACAGGAAACACCGCAGCTGACATGTGCAACTTGACGTTTCCCGTCTTTTAGCCATGCAGGTTTTACAGCAGAGCATGTTGGACTTGGTCAGAAAAGAAAGAAACGTCTTTAAGTATAAAAGCCAATTCTAATGATTACAACTTAAATTTTATTATTTTACATATTTTCTCACTTCAAATAAACTTTAATAACTTGTTTTATATTTGAATTATTTAAAAGTTGTAGTCCATATCATCTGAATGTGGACTTTGTTTGTTTGTTGCTTATTTTACAAAAATGCATGATGTAGTTTAAAGTTTAACATTTTAGTTTAGTTTATGCTTTTTAGCCGTAAAGAAAACAAAACAAGTCTTTCTTTCCTCGTTTTATTCAAATTATGGAATTTAATACCTTCCTTAACACATAAAAAATGCCACTAATAAACTAGATATTGTCCAGTTAAAAAGCACCGTTTTCCTGCTGCAGCTGCGGAGCCTGAAGCGGACGGCGTGGCGGCGGACGGCGTGGCGGCGGACGGCGTGGCGGCGGACGGCGTGGCGGAAGTGACTAAGCAGCTGGAGAAGCAGGCGATCGAGGACAAGGAGAAGGACGAAGAAGGCGAGGAGGGTAAATATGCGAACAAACCAGGAGTTTGTTAATCTTTATTCACTTTAACGTCTCAACATGTCGGTTTAACAGCTGTTTGTTTGTTCAGATGGAGACGACGGCGAAAACGCAGCAGGGAAAAAGAAAAAGAAGAAAAAGAAGAAGAAAGGATGTAAGATTTTTTTATTTTTTTGAAGATTCATAGTCTGTAAGATAAAGTCATGCATTGTTTTGTATTTATTTGTTTATTTTCTGGTAAATTTTTCAGCCAAAGCTCAAACGGATCCTCCGTCTGTTCCCATCTGTGAGTTGTACCCAAACGGCGTGTTTCCCATCGGACAGGAGTGTGAATATCCCGTCTGTCAGGACGGGTGAGGGTTTCAGTCGCCTCTTTGTTTTCAGTGAACATAAAGAGGTTGTCTTTATGTTGCCGGTGCTGACCCGTGTTGTGGTTTCCCAGTCGGAGTGCGACGTGGCGTATGACCATGGAGGAGCGGCGGGTGATGGACAAAGCCAACGAGGAAGTGTGGAACGACTTCCGGCAGGCGGCCGAGGCCCACAGACAAGTTCGGAAACACGTCCGCAGCTTCCTGAAGCCCGGACTCACCATGATAGAGATCTGGTGAGGCGGCTCACATCAGACACACACCGGGTTAATGAAACGGTTGTTTTCTACATGCTTTTACTTCATCCTAGAAAACATTAAGAAACCATTTAAAACCATCGCAACCAATCGATTAAGGACTTTCTATGCGTTATTTTCATTTTAAAGTTAAAAAGTCTGAACTAACAAATGTGTTGGTGAGAAAAAAATCTAATTTTTTCACAAATAAAGTCTTCAAAAGTATTAAATAAAAACAAGCTGAATTGTCAGCAGCTCTATTGTAGTTTTTAGGCGGTCATGTCTCTTTTGTTTGGACGTTTTCCTTCCTGGTTTTAATGTTTTGTTGCTCCGCCCAGCGAGCGTCTGGAGGATTGCTCCCGTAAGCTGATAAAGGAGAACGGGCTGAATGCCGGGCTGGCCTTCCCCACCGGCTGCTCCCTCAACCACTGCGCAGCCCACTACACCCCCAACGCGGGAGACCCCACCGTCCTGCAGTACGACGACGTCTGCAAGATCGACTTCGGCACTCACATCAACGGTAAAACGCCGCTCAGCTTCGCTCTCCGACAAACACTGGATCTAAATTTAACGCCGTTCTCTGGGCTTCCTGTGTTTCCTGCAGGGAGAATCATTGACTGTGCCTTCACCGTCACGTTTAACCCAAAGTACGACAAGCTGCTGGAGGCCGTGCAGGACGCCACCAACACTGGAATCAAAGTAGGACTCAAACGCGTCGGCCATGTTTGATCTGTAAGGAACCTGCAGCTGACGCGCTGCTGTTTCTGTTGCAGAACGCCGGCATCGACGTACGTCTGTGTGACGTCGGCGAGGCGATTCAGGAGGTGATGGAGTCGTACGAGGTGGAGCTCGACGGGAAAACATACCAAGGTGTTTATTTGACCTGCTTTCATAACAACGTCCGAATAGCGGATTAGCAAGGTTGCTAAACTTGCTAAACCCGGCGCTCGGCTGTCATTCATCCAGAAATAGCAATAAAGCAATATAAGACATAAAGTTGTAGAAAATCATCTCATGCTGACAGGAAGCAGCTGCTGAAATATTTAAGATGCTTCTGATAAAAATACAAAAAGTTTTTTCTGTTCTTGGTTTGATTTATTTCTTCAGTGAAACCCATCAGAAACCTGAACGGTCACTCCATCGGCCAGTACAGGATACATGCTGGGAAGACGGTTCCCATCGTTAAGGGAGGCGAAGCCACCAGGATGGAGGTGGGTGGTGTTTACTGGTGTTACTGGTTGAACTGGGGTGTCGCTCTGTGCTGAGTGTGTTCTGCGTTTAGGAGGGAGAAGTTTACGCCATCGAGACGTTCGGCAGCACGGGCAAAGGCGTCGTCCACGACGACATGGAGTGCTCCCACTACATGAAGAACTTTGACGTCGGCCATGTTCCAATCAGGTGAGGCCATTTTTAATTTTATCTATCACATAAAATCCATCATTAAAACCTGAGTTAAATCCTGTTGCTGCTCTTTTCCCTGCAGGCTGCCGCGAGCGAAGCACCTGCTGAACGTGATCAACGAGAACTTCGGCACGCTGGCGTTCTGCCGCCGCTGGCTGGACCGCCTGGGCGAGAGCAAGTACCTGATGGCGCTGAAGAACCTGTGCGACCTGGGCATCGTGGACCCCTACCCCCCGCTGTGCGACACCAAGGGCTGCTACACGGCTCAGTTCGAGCACACCATCCTGCTCCGGCCCACCTGCAAGGAGGTGGTGAGCCGAGGAGACGACTACTGACCCCCGACCCGACCCGACCCGGCGCCCCCTCATCGCTCCTCCAGACACTGAAACAGCAGAACAGCCGTTTTATTCAGAAGAGTCACTAAAACTATGAGAAATGTTGTTGTAGGCTGCCTACAATGCACTCCTCTCAGCTTCCAAGGAGAGATAAAACCCGACAGCAAACTTTGGAGCTCGTTTAGAAACGTGTTCCAGCTGCCAGCGAACCCGGTGTGACCCCCAGTATTCACACAAACAGAACCAGAACCTCCCTGCCGGTTTAACGACTCCACTGGGACTTTAACTCCATAATCAACCAAGATACGGGTGATTTTAGGAAGTATTCAGCTCAATGCATGATGGGAAGTCACTGCACACAGACTTTACTGCACATTTAAGCGCGGGTTGTCGTAGTAATAGACGCCATCTCCATTCAGACGCCACGTCCCTGCAGCTGTGTGTCCGGCTTCTGCGCGACAGGAGGGAAATCTGCACTTTGACCCTCCAGGCTCTAAAACATGGCAGAAAACGCCGCAGAGTCTGAAAGCTCCCAGTTAAGATGCTTCATTTGGAAATCTCCTTGGAAATGTTTTTGTAAGAAAAAACAGATTGATTAAAATAATTTTTGCTCATTGCTTGTGGTCTTTAATGTTTATAAAAAAGATATTTGACAAATACTTCAGTTTTTTATATTCTTTTATCAGAATATAAAATATTCTGATAAATATTTTACTTGATTTTTAACAAAGGTTAATGATTACACAGCAAAATCTTGTTAAAGTTTTATTTTTTTAGCCAATTTTACCCAAGTGTAGCTAAAACCGTCACTGACATATTTCCATGAAACATTTACATTCAGATTTTTATTTTGAAAGTTTTGGATTCGTTGCTGCTCTGAGTTCAAATTGCTTTTTGAGCGTAAACTCCAGTTAACAATTGATTACTAAATTGACGATTATTTTAATAACTGAATCTGATGTTATTTCTATATTTTTGTTAAACTAACAATAAAACACATAAGCAATTGGATCTCAATTACTATTTACTTAAAAGTGATTAAGTTTAGAATAAGAAGTTAAAAACATAAATAATCTTTCTGTAATCTTTATGTTTGCCAGTGGTTTCCAAACTGACAATCATTTGGTGGGATAACAAAAACAATTCAGTTTAAAAAATATGGAAATTAAATGTTAGGAAGGCAAAAATGCAACTAACTAGTGCAGCATCATCAGCTGGTAAATTAATATTTGTACTTTATTGCACGTAAACAGAGAATTTTGATTGACGACTGGAAACTAAACGGCATTAGTAAAAAATTATGTAAATATTCATAATAAAATTATGTGGAAAGAAAAACATTCAGTATTAAAAAAATAAGAAAAAAAAAGTCAGTTTGCTTGCAGGATCTCCCAACCAGGTCCTGCATTTGCAGTTTTTTCCTAAACTTTTATTCAAGGTGGAATTAGGAAGACCTGAATATTTCTTAAATTGGACTTGTTGATAAACTTATTTTATAAGGTGACAGTCAAATATTGACTTTGTTTAAAGTTGTCCGCTACCATATTTAAAAAAAGACAAAAACTCCCAACTTTGTAGAAAAGTGAAAAAATAATCTCATTTATTGAGGTAATTTTTTCTAGAAATAAAAATTGAGGTAACAATTTGCATAGCATAACTTTCATAAAATTTACACACACGCACAAACACACTGTGAAGCACAAACACACTGTGAAGCACAAACACACCGTGAAGCACAAACACACCATGAAGTAGTAACCAAAACACCAAAAACCAACCATTCAACAGTGAAAGGAAAACCAGGTGTGCTGTGATTCTTCTCCAATGAACAGATTCATACAGTAAAATCCTCATAAAACTGATGCTGGTGTTGAACAACAGGTCGTATAAAAATTTAACATTTGATGGTCAAGTTTGTAAAACCTCTGAAGTTTGTATAAAAATACATTCATAGACTAAATGCTGTTTTTTATGGATCGCAGTGCTGCTGAATTGATAAGAACAATAAACATACTTTGAGACAAAAGGGCACTTTTTCTATTATTGTCTGGTTGGGGGTGTTTCTCTTAAAGCAGTTACATTCTGGAGCAGAAAGGTGGCAGCGCAGGACTACGGGCAAAGTTTCCACCATGTTGAATATTTATTCTAACCCAAACTTCCTGTCCTGGATGTTTTTATTTTGAAACAACCGTCATTTGTGTACAAAATGAAACAAAAACTGTATAAACTAGTGCATTTCTGGCAGGAAAATGAGCCCAATGCCATCTTGAGTGACTGACAAGTTAACCTACATCCACTTCAACAATCTAAAGTGACTGAGAAACATTTCAGCTGATAAACATTTACAATCAACAAGTAGGGCAGGTGAGAACGCTCCTTGCAGGAGACAAACCTTGGCTGATACTCTCTTCTTAATAAAATACAAATTTACATAAATCACATCAGCATTTTCTTTTAAAATACCTACATATATATAAACACCATTTACAACAAGTTCACAAAGCAGAACCGGGTTTTTACAAAAGGAGTCCTTCCTCTTATTTTTCCTAACTTAGAAAAATAGACACAAAAAAAAGTCCCATGATCCCAGGTTTTAGAAAAAATACTGGAGAAGGAGCGACAGGTTGGGCCGGGATACAGTGGAGGTCAAAGTTCAGGAGAGAGGTCCTGATTCTATAGTGGCCGGTCTTTGTCCTGAGTTACTCGCTGCGTGTAGAAGAGGATGTAGGCCTGAGCCCGACAAACCTCGTCCACTGAGCACACATTCAGCTTAGAGTCATTACAGTGAACCCAGAAGCCTGGAAGAGAGAAGATGGGAAGAAAAATGAACTGTTTATGTTTTTGATTTGAGGTCAACATTTTAGTGATTTAAAAAAATAAATAAAAAATTTAAACCTCATGCTACATTGATTTTATTCAGGCACTTGGCAGACATACAGTAATAGAGAACAACAAGTACTGTTGGTTAATCATTGATCGTTAATCTATCTGTGTTAACAGACTGAGTCGCGGAGCTGGAGTCTAGCATGAAATTAAATAGGGAGGAAATACTTTATTGCTAGCATAATAAAAGAAAAAGGGTTTTACTTGAAGAAAGAAAGGGGAAATGTGCATATTATATATTTTACAACATTGCAGTGGCACAGAGAGGTTAAATCGGTTCTCATGTCTGCCACTTCCTGGAATGTTTTATAGCTAAGACCAGTTTTATTAGCCATTAAGATGCAAATGTTCCTTCAAATGTTCATCACTGATTATTAGCTTGGAATATTTGCCTCCTCCTGTTTTACCTCTACAGTGTTAGCAGCTTCTCTATCCTGACATTACAAGACATCCATGGATTCCTGTCATGGAGCATCAATGGGAAATAGATCAAGTATAAATAGACAGCTGTTCTGTGTCAACACTGATCCATATCAGATGGATCCGTTTCCAATGAAAATATGTTGGATAAGAGTTATACTTTTATGCTCAGAGAATTAAAAGTTTTAATTAATTGTAATTAAATAGTTACTTTAGTTCCAGTCTATTAACTAGTGTTTTAGTGTTGTAATTTGGCCACCCTCCAGCAGAGGGCGCCGCCGGTCATCCTTAGGCGGAGCCGTTGATGCAAAAACAAAGATGGCGGCCATACCGGGAAGTCAATAAAAACACGTCCAACCGAGTCAGGTGCGGCACGTAAAACGCACTTTACGCGGTTCTGTTTAGAAATATAAACACGTCTGGAGTTATTTAGAAATATAAATGCTCGACATGTTCTTTAAATTTCACCTTAATAGATGATTTAGCCGAGCGACATGACGGAGCTTCTCAACAGGAAATAACGGAAGGCGAGGAAGTGAAGGCGACGGAGATAAAATGAGATAAAATGAAGGAAAACGTGATTTTAAGGATTGTAGTGAGTTAATAAACTTCATTTATCGGTTCTGACATTCTGAGTAATTACAAACGGTACTTCTGTATGAATATTGTTCATATTTAACTTATTTTAGTCTTTTCATCTTTAATCACCTGCTTTGTTTTCATAACATGTCTAAGTTTGATCATTCAAGAAAATTCAATGAGTATTTAATACAAATAATACAAAATAATGTTAAGATTTGATGTTTTTTAAGTCAGCATATTACTACAGGAAAAAATTCTGGTTTTTAGTAACATGAGCATTTATTAATTAATTGTTAATTGATCGAAAAGATTAATTAACTTTAAATTCAATCATTAATCAATAACTATGGCTGGATAAATAAAATTCAGTCACTGAAGCAGTACTTCACTGTATTTTTACTCAAGTAAAAGTGAAAAGTAGCCATGCATGAAATTACCTGAGTAAGAGTAAAAAGGTTCCTCATGTTACTTTGTCACCAGATGGACTAAAAATATACAATTATTCTCAAATTCTGGAATATTTAACCTAAACATTGATACAAATAGCATAATTGCAAAAACATTAAAGCAGAGGAAGCATTATATTTATATAAAACATGTTTAACTCGTGCGTGTAGTCGGTTATGTTAAACCAGGACAACCTGCAGATTTGCAACTGATGCATTTTTGGTAAAAATATTTTCATCCAGTTAAGTTGCTTATAGTAGGTAAAGCAACCAAAACTTTCACTCATGTAAGAGTTCTTGCATTAATTTCCTACGTTAAATATTTCCACATTTTGGATCCAACTCAACCAAACAGTATTTACTGAAGATGCTTTTTTCCACTCACCTCCTTCTGTGTTGTAGCAGTAGGCAGTGTAGTGGCCTGACCCAAATCCCTTCCCATGATGCATCACGACAGCAGAGAGCTCGTAGAGGAAGTGCTTGGGGCGCGGAGACCCGGCGGCGCTGGGGCTGCAGTAGGGCTCCATGTTGAGGAGCTGGTCGAAGCGGACGTGGACTCCGATCTTCTCCCGATGGTTCCGCCCGGACCACCTGACCATCAGACACAGTAAATCGACCAGCCGAAACCTGCTGCAGTTTTGTCAAAGCCGTGCGGCTAATTAGCATGCTAACTTGAAGCGTGATCTCACCTGAAGCGTTTGAGGTGGAGCCTGAGGACCTGAGGCAGTTTAAAGACCATCAGCTGTTTCTTTGCTTCGGTCAAGATGACTGTTTTGGAGCATGTGCGTCGTCGGGCTGCTGCAAGAGGAAGGTAAAATGTAAACTTCTGTTCCACTAAATGTTTTTAATAGACAGCATTTAGCTTAACGGTGAGAGTGTTGCACTCACTCACCGTTGCACTGGTCGCAAGCGTAAATGTTTCCCTCCAGTGCTTCTGTTTCTGTAAACTTGGCCAGCATCTCGGTCAGGTGGCACGGAGCCTGCGCGGCGGACTCCCTGCTGTTGCTATGGTAACGCTCAGGGAACTCCAGAGACAAATCCCAGAAAGGCTCCACAGTGTTGGAGCGATGGCTGCAGGCCAGGCAGGTCACCTGCACAGATGAGTCGGCATGAGCGGAGCTTCCCTCTTTGTCATGCAGTCTGAGTCGGGGTCATGGTGAGCAGTCAGAGTAGAGAGTAGCTGAAGACACTCGGCCTTCTGTCCAGCTAGAGCAGGTGTCTCAGTGTGTGCCCACACTACCAGGAAGCATTACTCATCTTCTTCCACATTCACATCCTCTACAGAGCCCTGCTAAAGTATTTATTAGGGATTCTCAGATCAGGTTCTTTGCTGATCTCCCAGTAGGTCCGATCATCTGGATTGGCCGTTAATTTTTAAATGTTACTTTGTGATCTGGCAAAATGGAAAAATGATCTGGCTATAAATTCACCTAATTTAGACATAAAACATGTAAAGTACTTGCAGTAGCTATTCAGTCAAAAGAACAACTGAAAAACCTGCAATCAGTAAAACAATATTTAACAGAAGGTTCTCTGTACCATAAATTATAGACGAGTCAAATAAATCTCAATGCTGCAAATATCAAATAATGTCAACAAAAAAATACAACATTCATTCTACGTCAGTCCAACAGCGAGAGCAAAAGCAGCATCTTGCACCGCTAACTCGTTGACTTCAATTATTTATTGGGTTATTTGTTCAGCTTTCTGACTGTCTTGCTCTTCTGGTTGAGTGTTGATAATTGCTTTACCTTTTGTCTAATCGCTCTGGATGACTTTGTTTTTTCTGCTGTGAATCTCGATCTAACCAAACTCTGTCAAGTGCTTGTTTTTTAAATTACATATTAGATTTAGATTTGTTGCTGTGTTGCTGCAACTATCATAAAACGATCAGACGAAGGTCGCTTTACGGCTAAAAACATTGGATTTGGGTCACTTCAGGCTGGAGTGTGAACGCAGCGTCAGTCACTAAATGCATCTGTGAAGCTTAGAGCAGAAGCTGGATTGCAGGGTTAAAGGTGTGTGTGTGTGTGTGTGTGTGTGTCATACCTGGCTGAGAAGCTGGCCGTGGAAGATGGTGTTGACGACGCTCAGAACCTGCTTGATGAGGCGTTTCTGAGGGACTCCGGCCGTGTTGGTGTGCTTCCCGGTGCTCTCCAGCTCCTGCTGCACCTTGTCCAGCAGTTCGCACAGGAACTCCTGCGCGTCCTGCTGGGCGTAGCCCCTGAACGCGGGGATCAGCTGCCACACCGAGTGCAGCATGGCAAAAGGCGAGACCAGCGCCCACTTGCCGGACCACATGACCTGGAACAGGGTGTGCAGCTCGTGGCAGAGGGAGATGTGCTTGGAGCTGGGCTCTTTGGGTTGGATCAGCTCCATGTTGCGGCCGCGCGACGCCCCGCCACTCAGCCCCGATGTCAACTGGAGCCCCTTTCTCTGAGACGGGGGGAACTGCGTTGTTGTTTTCACCGTCAGCTGGCCGTGGACGGCAGACGCCAGCAGCTCCAGCGCCTGGGTCAGGTCCAGGCGGAGAAAGCACTCCCTGAAAACGTGCAGATGGCTTAAAACCTGCAGGATGGAATTCATGTAGCAGGTGTTCCCCAGATTCCTCAGACCCGTCACGCCGGGAGTGACAGTGGGACGCCGTTTGAAAGGCGAACCTTCCTGCTTGCTGCTCTGCCGGCGGCGGACCGGCGTCTGGGCGCCACGGGACGAGGACGGCGTAGTTCTGGGCTTAGATTTGGGGTTAGAGGAACGTCTCTGGGATTTGGAACAAGGAGGGGACTTTTTTGTCTGACCGGCTTTCTTAGGCACTGCAGCGGAAGGACTTTGAGTCCGTGACCTGCGAGATCGAGACGAGGCCGTTTGACTTTTTCTCTTCTTGCGATCTTTCTGAACAGTCGGTGCGATTGTCGCATCCACGACTCTCTGGCTCTTCCGACGCAAACGTCGGCTCTTTCTGATCGGAGCGCTTTCCAGTACGTCCTGTAGCTGGCGCTTCAGAGCGCGCCGCCTCTCCCTGGCCTCCCGTTTCTGCTCTTCCTCTTCCTCCCTCCTCCTCTCCTCTTCCTCTCTCCTCTTCCCACAGTCGGTTAAACCAAACCATAGGCGGAAAATGCGTCCGATGAGGGCCCGGCGGCGGTGCCACAGGGCAGTAAACATTCGGTCCTCGTCTCTCAGCTGCAACTCACTGGCACCGCAAGGTATGAGGGCGTCCGATCCGAAGCTGGCCGAGCGCAGGGTCCGCCCGCTGCGCGTTGTGACCTCATAGCGCTGGCTCTGGATGGCGCTGAGGGTGCTGCGCAGTAGCTTCAGATCCCCAGTAGCGTTATCGTTCAGCACATAGTCGTCGCACAAGTAGCAAAACACATACAGCTCGTTAACCTCCATCGCCAGTGGGTGGCGCTGCTGCTGGAAATGCTGGAGAGCATGTTCCTCGATGTAGCGGCCGCACGCCACATGCGCGCAGCCCAGGCAGGCCCAAACGGACTCGGTGGTGTTGCAGTCCACGCAGTGCCACTTCTGGGGGTTGAGGATGGAGTGGTCTGGGGCCAGGCGCAGCCGCCCCACGTGTTTACACCTGTCCATCACACGGCCGGCCGGCCGGCGCTCCGCCTGCAACAGTCAACGCCTGACTGTGGGTTTGCGTGCGAGGCAGAGAGCGTGTGTCGCTTTCAGACTAGCCTCATATTACCATGGTAACCACAGTGAGCGGAGAAATGGGAACATCCCAGGACATGGCTGTGGTTTCTGGAAGAGAAAAAAGCTGTAACTAACCTGAACTGAAGATTTTATCAACTCCAAACCAACAGGCGGGAAAATAAACTAACATTACATTTAAAAAATAAACCATTTTTTCAGTAAATAAGAGTTTACTTTGTGCTTTCAAGCAGTTTAGAAAACGTTGACAAAATTCAACTATAGAGCCGTTTAACCAACCATTTAACAAAGACCTGAAATTATTGATCTGAGTAACAGATTATTAAAATAACTGTCAGCTAATTTTGTATCCAATAATCATTATATGTGTTTACAGACTCAAACTGTCATGTACTTAAAGAACAACACATTCAGAGCAGTAATTAAGTCAAAACCATACAAAAATTACTAACATTTTGTATTTAAGATTAAAAAAAAAATCCCTTTGTCTTTAAATATGTTCTACCTAAAACTTCTTAATTTGCAGTTTTAACTTTGGCTGCTTCAGATTCTGTGAAATAAAATTTCTTATTAAGGACCTTTTGCTATCCAATCATAAATCAATTAATCAGTTAATTCAAAAAATGGTCAACAAATCAGCCTTACACTTTATTGATTAGTCACTGCTTATTTGGTGTAAACAAAAAAAATGTAGGCAATAAAAAGTTTTCATTATTTAAAAGACAAATTGTTTATTTGAACCTTTTCATGTATTTCTAATGTTGTGCAAATTAATTAATTAATAACTAAATTAATTAATAACTAAAATACTTGTTTCAGCCCTATTTTACTATTTCTTTCATTTAAAAATTTGGTGCAGTAGTGAATCTGCTAAATGTAGTAGCAGCGTTCAAAATCTTCCTGCAGAGCATATGAAACATTTTTATTATTCTTCCCAAAATAAAGAAACAAAAATACTTCCAGACCACCAATTTTGCCTTCTTTGTAAATAAAAGCTCTTCTTTCAGCCACCTGTCCAGAAGTGTGCAGCAACAGTTAGACAGTCTGTGCTTCATTAACTCTATAAAGATAAAGGTCAGCGCAAAAATATTCAGAATTATTAACGACTTTTGTTTAAAAGTAATTCTTTGAATTAAAAAAATAACATTCTATAAAAGATTCTTCGTTGATGGAAAATAATCTTGTATATTTTTGAATATAAAAACCAACCCAGGCCTAAAATAGCCGTTAAACCTGGATATGAAGCATCAACCTAAACCTTTTCTATAAATAGTAACAGAAACACAAACTCACTGAACCCAGAGACACAAATAGCAGTAGAGCGGCATGAATTAGCACTTCCTGTTATGAGCTAATCTGGGTCTTTTAGTTGTAGATATGCTTATTAAACACATGTGGTGTTAGTTTTATAACCACTTTTTCACTGTAATTAAACAGTCATTCAGGACATACATTTAAATAAATATCTTCTTTTTCTGTTGGATTCAAAACTACAACCAATAAAAATACTCAGACCACCAACGTTAGGCATAAAAAATCTGAAATTGGCATCACTCAGTAAAGGCCTGACATCATTTCTGGTTATAATGAGGATGTTGAAACTTGCACATCAAAATAAAATCATCACATGTTCTCATCTGTCCTCTGGACGGTGCATAAAACCCGAAAGGAAAAGCAGTTTCTTCTTTTATGGACAGTGTGTGACTCACTCAACCGTTGTTCTGAGGAGATCAGGAAGAAATCTCACACACGTCAACACTCTCCAACTGCATTGGATTAATTAAATTAAACTGGATTCTTTCTGCCTTATTAAAACTACAAAACGAGACAGTCAGCGCGTTGCTGTTTGGTCTGAATAAGTCTACTACATGTTTATTAAACTTTTGCAAACTTTCCGTACTAAAAACTTTATAAGAGAATCACCGATCATAAAAGCTAAAACGACTGTTGTTCATCGATAATTGCGCTTGTTTACCTTTTATAGTGCAGGAGTGGGCGTGTTTATTCGTTTTATAAACCGTAAATATCAAGGATTATACAGTAATGTAATATATTTGACTTTTCTTAAGCTGTATCCACTTATAGCAGAACATTCAGTTAATATATTAAAATAGGAGTGATATAATTGAGCTTTAAGAGTCGTGATTATTCAGACCAGGATTTAACAGCGAGTTAGCGCGCTTTACCTGGGTTGTCCTTGTGGTTGGCTGGTCTGAACATGAAGCTTCATTGTTGCATAAATGCATAATAAATACGCCCAAACTGAAGACAACCATTAAACGGTAAAAGAAACAACAGTTGATTTCACATCAGCATGAGAATGCCTTCTGTTTTATGATGCTAATGTTTCAAAAAGTGGTACATCCCCAGTTGCTAACATGAGCCAGCTAGCTCCGGCTAACCCGAGATCTCTGAGATTTATAAAACAAAATAGAAACCCAGCGACTCATCAAACACGAGAAACAACAGCGTCGAGAAATTTAAACTTAAATCAGAGTTCATTCACAGTTTCCGGTGCATAATATTCCTGATCCCAGATTTGTGATTAAAAGATTAGTGAGCTGCTAAATGTTAGCCTAGCATGCTAATTAGCATTAGCAAGCCGGGCAGATATCCCAACGAGTTCACGCGTTTTTCCGCCCGCCGTTCACGGCGTCCGTCGGGACTTTCCACCAACTCCCAGATTATGATCAAACACAGTCCTCATGAACAAGACAAGTCAGTATTTTAACAGCACGCAGCTCACCGAGGCTCCCCTTCACGGTTGTTACTCCTCTGTTTCTAAAATGTTCGCCATCTTGTCAATCCCTGTCGCGTGGTGTTAGTTCGAGCGCGTCCACGAGACGTGACGTTTTTGTTGTTGTTTATATTGTTGCGAGTAGTTTATCACCATATAGTTATCATTTACAACCAGACTTGTGCGTCACATTCACTTTTTCATTTGCTTTCTTCAGTTTGACAGATTCAAAATATTCTTATGTATCTTAATGAATTTATTAAACACCAAATTTGGATTTATTAAAATGATTATTTTTCTGAAATAATTTCAGAGGAATCATTTACAGAAAAGAAGAATATCACCACAAGTGGACAGGTGTTATATATCCTCTATTGCGTGTTTATTACTCTATATTTAATATGAGCTTTTCAAAATCACAACACCGCCTTACAGATGTGACCAACGTTCATCGCTAGAGGGAGCTGTTGGTGTAATTTTGAATTGTGTCAAACCCTGAGTTAAGCAAGTCTGTAAAATAAATTCATTATCTTTTTTTTTTGCCTACTTTTTTGTTAAACCAGACATTTTTACCTGCTAAGCTCCAATTTGTTTGGTATGAAATTGAAAAACTCGACCTTCAGCTAGAAGTAAAGAACATAAGTTTATTATTTACAATTCGATCCACAGGCTGGATTTTGATTGATAATTTCCCAGATCTTGATTTTTGATAAAGACGATGCACAAATATTGACATTCAAGTCTGGAAAAGTTGACATAACTCTGATCCATCCTTTAAGTTTTTCCTTCTTTTTGTAGTTAATAAAACAATTGAAAGACATTTTTATTAAAATCTGTTTCAGGTAACGCAATGATGTCACTTTCCAGGACGTACCATGTGTGTTTATTTTCTGTTGTGAACCTTGAGAGTCTCTGAGCTACTGTAGGATGCAGGTGCAGAGCTTCATGCTGGCTTATGGGGGCTGCATGGTGGTAGTCACCGTCTAGATCCCATCAGTGCAAAGAAAACATCATAACTGTGCATAACTACATTAAATCTTTCTGTGTGTATTTCTGCAGAGGCTCAAAGGCAGGAGTTAGGTTTCATCCAGGAAAGTTAGCTTGAAGGCTCGTGCTTTTCATCTCAACACATGCTCCCTGATTGCATGTGAGGAATCCCTCTCATGTTCTGATTAGTGGGGAACTGATCCATTCAAACTTGTTAAATCCTCCTGTGAGAAGGGGGGAGAGTGCAGATTAAGGAGCATTTGTGACTTGAAGAAAGAGGTATGTGTCGATGTACAATGCAACGCCTGTGAATCATCTCTAATGTTTTTTCTCCCTTAATGTCTCCGGGCAATAACTGCTTTCATGTCTGCACATGCAAACCCTCGTTGCCTCGCGTGTTCTTTTTATCCATCCTTCTCATAAACACTTTATTCACTATTACTTAACTGCTAAAGATCTTGTGAGATGAAGCATATTAAGTAATTATGTGTTAATATTTAATAGGATTTTTACTACTGGCAAAATGAACAGATTTCTACTCCTTGTTGTGGTTCACCTGCTTTGCCTTTACAGAACTTTTAATCTCATTCAGCTTCACCATTTTCTCAGGAAACCTTGTTTTGAGTTAGCAGGCTGAGAAAACCTGCTGGACTCAATATTTTCAGCACCAAACAGCAGAAATGATAAAGTCGAATGTAGATTTTCCCATGAGCCAGTGGAGATTTCCAGTCACACCTTAATGCCTAACATCTGAAGATATGGATGGATGACATCAACTTTCACAATGCAAACCAAGATCTTTCTGTTAAATTGAATAATTATGTATTTCTTGTTATTAATGGATGAAAACACCCCAAAGTTTATTCCCTCTTGAAGTGGCTTCACTTAAACCTCAGACATTTAGGCTGATGTGCTCCTGACAGTTGAAGTGATTGTGAACTTCATGGTAAGGTCCAAAAAGCTTTCTGGTTATAGATTTAAGGAGGTCTGGAAAAAGAAATAAAGGAAATCAGCTATTTTGCTCTGCAGAAAAAAACTCCCAACATTCCCAGGTCTCTATGCAAGTTTACCTTTAAAGCAGGCTGCAAAACGCTAAAAGAAGTGTCCAAACCATGCATGCAAAATCATAACGTAGATTACACAACTTCTGGAATAATGACAGATGAGTCAAAAATAAAAATATTTGGGCAGCATGTCAGGAAAAGAGCTTCATGTAACTGTGGAGCACGGAGGGGGGAGTGGAATGCTTTGGGTTGCAGGAACTGACCAGATCATCATAAAAACCAATATGAATTATTCTGGGTATCAGAAAGGGATTGAGGGAAATATGTGTTTAAAAAAAAGGACAAAAGAAACCTGAAGCAGAACTGAACCTGCAGCGTGATGATACCTTGTTGCTTTGAAGACTTCTTTTGGCATTTTGCAGTCTGTTTTAAAGTTTTATCAAATATTTTTGTCTTGTTTCTAATCCAAACATCTTAGTACACTTGAAATAAGACAAAACTAACTTACAAGTAGATATTCTTAGTATTGATAAAAGAAAAGGGCTAATCTCTCTGGCAGGTCCTTAAAGCTCCTAAATATCTGACTAAAAATGGTACTTGTAACTCCATTTAGTTTAATTTAAAGCGTACTAAAATATTTGCACTAGAAAATAGACAAAAATACTTTGCAAGATTTTCAGGTTTTGGTCTGAATGTGCTATGAATTTATAATTTGTACATTTTCTGAAACCTTTTCAAGATTTATAAACCGGTTCAATCTTTTTTGGAAGATTCAAAATGGCGTTTACTCTCACTTCAGCAGTCGGAGAACACAGAACTAAAAGGTTTCAAAATGTGCACCTGATTTATACGTCTGTGTGATTTTCAGCCGTTTTTCTGTTTTACTTGCATTTGTCAGTGTTGATGAAATCGATAATGCACACCAGTAGATCCAAATATGTTAGAAAACACGCAGGTCGCTTTAGGTTGTCCTCAGTTTTTCCGTTCTGATGTCTAAACAACAGCGATGTGCAGTGAAAGACGGGGAACGCTCGGTGCGTACCGTTTCTCCCAGACACCTGGACCTCATAAAGATAAAAATAAAAGCACGCCCACATGTGTGAAACAGGCAACATGTTTTCATGTTTCGCTGGCCTGGTGCTTCCAGAGAAAGGAAGCCATTCCGGTGGTTTCACGGTGGTGTTGGTGCAGCTGGATACGCCGCTGGTTCTGTGGTTGGCTAAAACACAGGTGCAGGTGAAGCCAGAGGAAATGCTCCAGAGCCTGTAAACAAACACGCCTCCTGTAAAAATGTCCTCTCTCCATTAGGGAGGATGTTGGCGTTGGATGCATGACTTGTCGTCAATTTTTATAATTCTTTTTTGGTCTGAATAAACCGACGACATCAGGATCTTGTTTTGTCATGTATGTAAAAATGATCAGCAGTTGTGTTTTGATGCCCGTCCCTGTTCTGGCTTGCTCTTTCAACATTCCTCAAGTGTTTTTAATGTGAAGCCAGTGAGCTGTGATGGTTTCTGAGGAATATTTTTCCTTAACTCGATTCACTGACTCGGTTTCCGATGCATAAATCTTCTCATTTCCTCTGTAAATGTATCTCGACTGACGGGGTAATTCTGGCCACATCACTCTCTGATCCAGCACACGTTTCCCTGAGACTATAAGAAGGAGAATAAATCCAGTCTTGGTGTATTTTCTGCTTCCAGAGATCTGATCCTGATTTCCCACATGGTGGGAAATGTTCAGATGCTTAATGTGCTGGAAGGTTAATTATTGGGTCGACGTTTTTTAACTTCCATTTCTGAGTGAAATTTAGAACCAAAAACCGAAAACTAATGAGAAAATTACCTGAACTGGAAGGTTAGAGGAGCCTGGTTCTCTCATTCTGTAGAACATCCATCCATTCATCCATCCATTCATCCATCCATTCATCCATCCGTCTGTCCGTCCAACCAACAAACTCTGATTCTATGTATCAAGTCCCTATTTTTCCACCGTCCATCTGTTTTTGT